GCCCATAACTATTATTGGTATGTACTTGACCCGAGAGTAGCATGGTCCATTTGGGTTGCATATCATCAGGACAATTTGTTAGGATAGACTATTGAGAGAAGGTTATATATGATTTATTAATATATTATAAGTTCTATTATATTAATATGAAATCATATGTTTTAATTAGTATTGATCAAGAATTAATTTGAAATTATTTTAGTGATCAAAAGAGACTAATTAATTCTATGGGGACTAATTATGGTAATTAGTTATATTTATATGTGTTGGGCTTATGATCCATGTTGGACCAAGTTTATGTATGGACACATAAAGAGTTGGGCCACATGAACCATGGATCATAATACCCATGGGTATGGATTTGGGTAATACCCATGACCCTTGGAATCCTACATATAAGTAGGTCACTCCATAGCCAAAATCGTGACTTCTAGTTCTTGGAGTTGATTTTTTGGTGTGGAAGAAATTCTCTCTCAAGTTCTACCTTTGTCCATGATGTGTTGTGACTTCATTTGAGGCTTCCACACTATTGGGGCTAAGCTCTTAAGGCTAAATACATCAAGACTTCAAGCTACATAAAAGGTATGTTACCCTAACTAGTATCTTTTATGGTTTATGTCAAATGCATGCTAGTTATACGTTTAATGCCTTGGAAACCATTTGCATGTATAATTAGTGAAAACATAGATCCAAGGTATTTAGGGTTGTATGTGCACCATAGGATGTTGTAGCATAGAAAACCCAACACGAAATGCATTGAAAATCCATAAAATCTTGAGGATTGGAAAAGCGTAGTCGAATCCAAGTGGGGGAGAATCGTTTGGTATTAGGGATTGGACAAGAATGGATATTCAGGTTTTATTGCACATCATTAGTGATGCTTGGTGGATATTTGATCAGGTGCAGGTTGAGGGTTGTGTTAGAGCCTCTCTTCCTATTCTTGCTTGATTACGGCTTAGGGGTTTGAAGCATAACCCAAACACCTAGTTGGGGTATAGTCAGATACGGGTTCGACTCAGGATGATTATGGTTGGATTGGTAGATGAGCGGTAAGACCATGGGTGGTGACCATGGCAGTATAGGAGTGTTGTAAGACTGCGGGGTGGCCATAGCATTCACTCAAATGGCAAGTAGTGGTAGAATTGTTGTAAGACTGTAGGGTGGTCGTAACATTCACTAGGTTGGCATGTAGTGTGCAAGTGTTGTAAGACTACGGGGTGGCCTGTAGCATTCACCTGGTTCTTGAGCAAATATGAGAGCATGGTAAAACCTATGATGGGCCTGTAGTTCCTCTAGGTGAGATTAGACCATGGCAGGATAGGTCGTGAGACTATGGGAAGGCCACACCATTCATGGAATTAAGGAAGGTTGTAGGCCGTATGAGGCCGGTGGTAATATAAAACTACAGTTTGGCATGTAGAATTCACATATAGCAAAATGGATTTGGTTGCATCAGGTTTGATGGTTGGTTATGTTCGGTTGGATCAGGTGGGCTGTTAGAAGCATTATGTAATGTAAGATAAGACAACTCATGCCAAAATAAGACCCTCGTTCGGAAGTCGTGTGGTGTGATTGTGTGAGGCTATTAGTCTCAACAACCATTGGAAATCCGGTATATTGGTTAAATGGTAGGTAATTATGAGACCAAGGAGGTCTTGGCTGCATCTAGAATGTAATTATGGGGCAACAAGATGAGCCTGAGGTGGTATTAGTGATTGGGACTTATGTTAGTAGTCTCCTTATGATTAAGTGGATATGTTAAGTCACTTGCTACATGGGTAAAATAATCTCAAAGTAATTGATTTGACCCTACTACACAACTCTCGTCTGAGTCTAACCGTTGTAGGGATGAGTCTTTTACTCGAAGTATTATCTAAGCCTTTTTTCAAGTGAAACGTTTTCGACAGCAATGAATGGTCCGTGATTCTGTTTCCCAGTGGAAACAATAGAATAATTAGGGGTTGGAAGAGTTATAATCAGTTTGGAATACGAAGTGGAGTTGTATTGACAGTGATTCAAAGTGGGTTTTCTGTCAGGTTGGCAGACAGGGTTTTAGGATCTCATATTTTGGGCAAAGTAGTAATGGTTATTCTTCAGGGGTGAACACTAGTGGGGTAAGGATCCGTTCATTGTTAGGAATAGAGAGCGTGCTAAGGCTGGGTCCGATTATAGTTTTGGAATGTTGTTGTATGCTTGAGTTGTTTCCTTAGTCCGTATCGAGATTTTGGAAGAAGTGTCTAAGCTGCCTGGAGTGTCTAGAAGGTAGTAAGAAGTGATTTCAAGGACGAAATCAAATTTAAGTGGGGGAGAGTTGTGACACCCGTTTTCCTAGAAGAGTCGAATCAGGGTTTCAAGGAGTCAAAGGCATGGCTTTTGGGTAAAACCAAGGCTCACGACATGATCCATATAAGGGTCACGATATGAGGACCAATTAAATGAAGAAATTGTGTATATGTTGAGTTCACGATGTGAGAAATAAGAGCTCACAACGTGAGGATCGTTGAAGCCCAAGCCCACATACTTTTAGGGTTTCCCACATATTTAAGCCCCCTTAACTCAGTTTTATGGTTCATTTCTCAGCCTCCACCTACCTCCAACTCAGAAAACCCTAACCCTCATCCCTCTTGGTGGTTTTGGATCCATCTTGGTGTTTTAGTGGCTAGAAGAAGAAGAAGAAGAAGAAGAAGAAGAAGATAAAGAAGAAGATGTTCTAGAGTGTTGGTCCAGTAAGGAGGCTTCATCATCATCTTCTTGTGCACATTCTGGACCTTTGTAAGTGACCAACATTCAACCTTTATGAGTTTAAGTTACTATATCTAGGTTCTTGTCCCTTTTCCTTCATGATTGTGGAAGTTTGCATGGAGGAGAACCATAAAGTTGACAACTTTATAGTCTCTAGGGGTCCCTTGAGCATCATATCTATTGGATCGGAAGTTTATTTGTGATTAATGAATCTTGCATGACTTTGGGGCCATTTATTGTCATTTTGATCTAAGGTGGGTTTAAGACATGCATGGGGCATGCATGTCCATCAAGTAATCATTTTATCGACCTTTAGAGTCCTCTTTAGCTTCTAAAAGAGTCGGGGTCGATGACTTAATGGATTAAGGACTCAAAACATTAGGATATGGAATCAGACTATGCTCATGACGTGACACATGGAGTGTCACGACGTGAGAATGGTTTTTCCCCACAGAAACTTGGTCATTTGAAGCTTACGACGTGACCAAGGAAGGCTCACATCATGAGGACTCCTTTTGAGTCGTTTCGACTGAGTTTCTGAGTGGTCTGAGTTCAAGCTGGAATTTGTCTAAGTGTATTCTCACGATGTGACCAAGGGCTGGTCACGACGTGAGGGTCAACTGTTGGTATGTTGACCGCTGACTTTGACTTTGGTTGTTGACTTTTGACTTGGTTGTACTTTTGGGTCTAGATTCTATTTTTAGAAGGTAGACTTAGGGTTTACCTTGTGTGGATTGATAGGAGGTGTCGAGCACCCGTCTTTTGGTAGGAGAGCAACTAGTTGAAGTCAACTTTGTGATTCAGGTGAGTCTCTTCACTATACTCGTGGGTCGAAGGCAGCAATGTCGGCCCACTAGATTATATTGTAGGATGGTAGTTGTCTTTATGACACGTGTTGATATGTATGTATGTACTTGATTGTCTTTGTGACTCTTGATGGTATGATTGTATGTTTTATGTTGCGGGGGTTGATACGGACCCGACACAACTATATGTTGTTATATAGAGTCATTATGGACTCGGGGGTTGATACAGACCCGACACAGTTACTTGTTGTCATATGGGTTGATACGGACCCGACACAGCTACATGTTGTTATATGGGGTTGATACGGACCTAACACAACCACATGTTGTTATATGTATATGTGCATGATATGTGGTATTTTGGGGAACTCACTAAGCTTTGTGCTTACGGTTTATTGTTTTTGGTTTTTGGTACTTCTGGTACAAAAGGGAAGGGCCTGGTCTGGCTGCACTGCATTCACCCATGTTTCTGCAACTTTATGATTTTAGGATTGTACTCTGATAACTATTTTTACCTTGATATATTTTTGAATGACTGATAATACTAAATGGTGTTTATAGTTTACTAAATGAAATTTTTACCTTACAATTTTTGGGATGTTACAAAAACCAATAGTTGGTTACACCTCCTGAGTCATTTTCCCAAATTTATTAGTAGCACTTAACCTAACAATAACATGGTTCAATACATGAAAAACATGTGTTTATATGATCTAAAAGACCATGATATAGCGCATCCAGATGTATAACATAAATCAACATGAAATTCTTGTTTCATAACAGAAACTAAGAATGAACGAATCATTCTCCTTGAACAATACAAATTTTCACATTAATAACATAACATCCATATTACTACAATATCTCTTAACATTTATTTAACATTAATCAATTGTGTAGCATCAGTTTTTGCAATTCTTATTTAGCAATAACAACTTTTTTTTTCAAAGTGATATCATTTTCTTTATTTTTTATTAATTTGCCATGTTTTATATTTATCTTAATATAATACCCACCATTCATTTATAGTGGTAGGAAAATACAAGTTGCTTTGTGGGATGGTTTTGCATTGAAGTTGAACACTAACATATCGGAACATCAAAATGATAATGCCACTGTTATCATCCTCCTACGTATGGAAAAGCTCAAAACTTGGGGTGGTAACAATATTTAATTTGTGATTATATATGTCCATGTCAGTACATTAACATTTTAATTGAAAAACAATTACTTCCATTATCATTTCCAGGTTAGCCTCAAGTTGGAAACTATTTGTTTGGGTTGAGATTTCATTTTAATGATGATATTCCTCACATTTCAGAATTCAAAAAAACGTATGTCTTCTATTAATAATTAATACCTTAATGTTTTCTTTTTTCATATTTTTAATCAATCATTATTTTTATTGTTTAACATCCACATTTTTTTTTGCGTATATGTAGTATTGTTGATATGGATGTGAATGGTGATTCTTCCATTAATACTACACATCTTAACACCCATACCGTTGTGGCCAAGGCAGATGATTATTACCTCCGTTTTCCAATACAAAACATTGATGATATTCCCGATTACAACGAGGTATACTTAACAATATTAATTTTTCCCTTCATTTTAATAATTTATTATGCAGAACACAACCCATACATATAAAAATTATTTTAATATTTTTTGTTTTTTTAAATTTATGAAACAGGAAGTTGGTTTGTCCATCATGGCTATTATCATCGGTTTTGATTTAGATGAGGACCGGTATTCTTTATATTGCCATGATTGCTAAAAAAAGTAACTAAAAATGATGATGATAGTGATGCAGAACCATTTAATTGTGATTGTTGCGGGGGAGTTTTGGATGTTTACGACAAGTAAGTACATTATTTTACATTTGTAACGTTCTTTTGCCATTATTATTATTTTTTCGTATTTTCCATTTTTATATCATTTTCAATATAAGTGTTATTTTTTCAATTTTAGGGTCAGGGTCGTAATTCGTGTTCGAGATGAAACTGGGTCTGCTTCTTTCGTATTGTTTGACCATCATATTAAAGATATTATTTGTCGGGGTAAACAGTGGTTATTTAATATTCATAATTTACTTACTATTTAAGTTTGGTTTTAAGTGTCTAGATACTACAAATTAACCTTATAATTTTAATGCATTTTCTTTTATTGGTTTTGTTTTAAATGTTCAAATGTTTCCTTGTATTGTAATTTAGGATCAAGGAGATCAACATATCTCCGATGAGTTCAACACCTTTATGAATAGGAAGTTTGTCTTTAAAATTTAGATCTCAAAGTTCAATCTCGAAAACAATTATCTTGTCTATACTATTTATAAGTTGACTGATGATGAAAGTGTAGTTGGTAAGGTTTTCAAATGGTCACCTGCTTGTGAACAAGATACTATTCATTCTAACGGTACTCTTGTTACCAAGTCTATTAAGGTAAATAAAATCAATTCATATAAGTATGATTTTTAAATGTGCCGATCAAATAATATTGTTAACAGTTACTTATATGTATTATGTACAAGAAAAGTCTCTTTCGGTTGATGGTGACAATCTTTATGTTGTAGATGTTGAAGTTGTCACACCAATAGCCTCTCTAGCCAAGCACCATATTGAGATTGTTACCATCACCGAATCTTTTGAGTGTTTTTCTTTGAAAGATGGTGTTCCTTCTCCTACCTTAAATATCCATAAAATGGAAAAGGTGGATAAATTTGAAGCTATCCATCATCATTTGACATCTCATTTTGAAGACTTTTATGCAAATTTTTGTGTCTTAATTATTAACTGTAGCAGTTTTTATTGTTTGTTTATGGATTGGTTGCTCAATTCATTTGTTTTCATTTGGAATTGTATGTTGCCTTTTATTTGGTTTTAACACAATGTTATTCATGTTGTTTAAGACAAATTCATATATATATATATATATATATATATATATATATATATATATATATATATATATCTATATATATATATATATATATATATATTATGTGACTTTATCGTGTTATTAAATGTTTTGCTTCTTATAATTTCATTGAATAATTATGTTTATGACATTTGTTTTTTTACACTATTATTCTAAATGACGCCATATCATATGTCATTTGCATAAAAAATTACTTTACATGTATATTTCACTGTACATCTTTAATGTGTCATAAGATAAATCATTTGAATGCCACTGACTACAAAATTTACCTTTTGTTATACATGAAATAATTGGTTGCTTGTTCTCAGATGATACAATTATCATGTTGTCATAAACAAATTGATAATTATGTTGAAGATCTTTCTCAAGTGTTAATGACATATCTTCAGAATTTGTAAGTTTACAATTCTCATATTAAAAACCACTATTTTTTTATTACACACGTTGTTTCAAATTAATTGTTTAGATAACATACCAACCTACTCTGTTTTATATATATCTAATAATAATACAATTTATAAATTTATATAAATATTATTTTATTTAAGTAAATGTACATATTTTGCATTTTGTACAAATACATTATACCTTACAAAATATCATTTCCGCCAAAAATATTTTCATTAGTTATTTCATCCATAATGTCACCCCCTATTAATTTGTAATTTCTTTTTATAAAATATTAGAAGATCTCAGTTTATTTCCCTCCAAAATTATTTCCATAATTTATTTCCTACATAATGTCACCCCCTTATAATTATTAATTTTCTTATATAAAATATTAAAAGTTACTAATATGAGTATATATATTTCGATGTTATAAGCAACAACCACAATAAACCAAACATATAGATTTGGATGACGATTTATCTTTTTCAATAAAAAAAAACTAAAAGTCATATCAATAATGTTTTACCCATCAACCCTTCGTCAAATCCCAACCAAATGCCAACAACACCATTTGTACCACAAAACTGCAATCGTATTTCATCTTACGTCATACAGACTTCTACCAATATCATTGCGAACAATGAAATGGCAAAATCAAAATCATCTTCATGCTCACCGCTGTCGGACATAACAAATGGTAAAGTTCATATTTAACTATTATCCTTCTATTCGCAATACATATGTCATTAAGGTTCTTTTTGTATAACACATTTTTCCTTTTAATATTATATTGAATGTTTTATATATACTATTGTTATTTAGGCTCTTCATACTCTACACATTTCTCTAAAAACACCATCAGCTTCATCTATACAAAAGATTTACCACAAAGATATATATATTTTTTTTACATTTCATGCTACTTTTATATTGTTTTTCATATTTTATATTTATGTTTTAATTGTACTTTCATATTAGAGATTTATATATTCCTTCAGCTTTATGATGCAAATTATAATTTTCAATAAATAATTTCTTCATACCGCTTAATTGTCGAGTTACTCGAAAAGTGACTGAATTGCCTTCAAACTCCTCGTCTCATAACTTTATACACCCGAATATGTAACCTACATTTATTTCATCAAGGTCGTCACTTTCACAAATCACCAATCAGGGTAAAACTTTCAAGGCTGTCAAGACACTCAAAACTCTGGTCATAGTTTTCCTATTCCTGGACTACTAATTAATACATATTTTTGTTTATTTGATCATAAATTTACCTTCATTATATTCACTGTATACCTTTTCTCCGCTTTCAAAATTACTTCACAAACATTACCAACACATTTGTCGAGCTTATCTAATGATTTAGATTTAGTTGTTTCCAACAACTGTGCTACATTTCAAGGCAATAACACAACTCAATCCACTAGAGGGAAACAAACATAGTTTAATACAAAGGATATTCGTTTTTTTGATTTAAATAAAGATTTTGTTGAACCTTCAAGTAGTAATATTATTCGTGTTTAACCTTCGTTTACTTATACTGATCAGGTTCATGCGGAAGGTGTATTATCATCTATTTTGTTAATACATGCACTTATATATTTTTCCGACTTTTTTTTTCTGTTTACCTTCCCTTATTCAGATACTACACACACGAATATTAATTATGCAGAAAGAACTTATAATAAATACTTGTCTTTACCAATCCTAAATCTAAGGAAAACAAAAAGCGAGGCGAGCCATTTTCTATAAAAAAAAAAAAGACACAAATATGTATGTATTCTACTTCAAGTGGTCAAAATGATATCACGAGTAACAATCGGAGTAGATTTTGGAATAAGCAAAGGTATTGTATTCCTTCAACTAATTCTGTTATCATTAAAATTAAAAAAATGTCATTACCCTATTGCATTTCAGTAACATAGCATATCTAATTTGTGGAAGTTTTTTCTTTCTTTATAGTTTATTTGGATTCTGTTGATGTGGTATACGTTTGCTCAGTATGTAAAGCTAAGGTTTGGCAGGGAGAAGCAATTCGAAAAAATAAAGATGTAATGAAAACCTACTATTCCATTTGTTGTTACAATGGAAAGGTTGAATTACCCACTCTGATTCCCCCACCTCATTTGTTGCTTGATTTATATAGCTGTGTTTCTGAAAAAAAAAAAAAAGTCAAAACTTTATACAAAATACTCGTCGATTCAATATGATATTTGCATTTACATCTATGGTTGGTAAGATTGATCATGCCATTAACTCTGGAGGTTCTCCTTATGTTTATCGAATACATGGCCATAATTATCATATTGCTTACAACTAGCTACCAGAGGAGGGAAAATTACCAATATTTTTCCAGTTGTACATATACGAAACAGATCATGAGGTTGACAACATATTCAATGCATACGAGTATGCAAATACACTCTATTGTATAAGTGCATTACATACACACACGTGTGTGAGTGTGTGTGTGTGTGTATATATATATATATATATATATATTGTTTTTTTATTGTACTGCATAATTTTTATATCTATGATTTTGTTTTTCTCTTAATGTAGCTTGAAAAAGAAAAATTCAAAATCTAATAACTCCATGGTAAATCCTTTTTCTCTCAAGTTTTGGCTCAAATACAACAAAGCATATTAGGCTTAAATTGATTGGGACAAGAGAAATGGATGGTAGGCAATATAATCTTCCTACCATAAGTGAGGTAGCTACCCTCATTATAGGTGATATTGACGGCTCCGATTCACGAGATATTGTTTTGGTAACACAGAATCGGCAACTCCAACGTATTAATGAGGTGCATCCTCAGTATCTTGCACTTCAATATCCTTTATTGTTCCGTTATGATGAGGATGGATTTCAAGTAGATATATTACACCGTGGTGTTGAAGAACCAAAATCCAAAGGACAAATAAAGCTGACCATGTGAGAGTATTTTTTTATTACCATATACAACAGAGAGTTAATGAAATATCTTTGATATTATGTTCCAGAAAAATCTTCCATCAATTTTTGGTTGATTCATATACAATGGTTGAAAACGAACACCATAATTATCTATTATTTAACCAAACAACATTACGTGTGGCTCCTTATGGCAACTTGGCCGAGGCTGCTCAAGATGGCATTGGAGATGCTTTTATGATGGGAAACCGTATTATTATTCCATCTTCTTTTACCGGTGGCAGTCGTTACATGCAACAAAATTACTTAGGCACAATGACTCTGGTTAAGTGGTTTGGTTATCTAGATATTTTTTCACCCTTACACGCAATCCTAAATGGCCAGAGGTCATTAGATTCATTGAATCTGAGAATCTTAAATCAAAGTCCAAGCTCGATATTTTGACACGATTATTCAAAATAAAACTTGATTCATTAATAAGTCGATTGAAGGATGAATTTTTTTTTTTTTTGGTGAATTCAATGGATATAACTCTTATATGTGATTATTCTTTATATTCATAATGTTTTTATAATATTATGTGTTAATTTTTATAATAATATGTGTTAACCAACTTACTTAATTGGCTCACACAGTTGTATATACCATCGAGTTTCAAAAGAGGAGACTTCCACATTGTCACATATGCCTGTTTTTGGAAAAAAAAATTCTAAACTTCCAAATCCTAAAGACATATACTGTGTTATATGTGCTGAATTGTATGACAAGGAGCTTGAACCAAATTTGTATCAAATTGTTTGTTAGAACATGATACATGGACCATGTGACAATGATTTTTCATTTATGTCCTATATGAAAAAAAGGGAAATGTGCTAAATGATTTACAAAGGAGTTTACTGATCATACTTATATCGATAAAGATGGTTATCCGATTTACCAAAGACATAACAATAGAAACAATGTCATTAAAAGCGGTGTTTCTTTAGACAATAGGTATACAAAAATCCCT